CTGCAGTCTGTTTTTGGGGTCCTCATGGGTTTTGTGGCTTGGCTTTGCTCCTATTGCTCGTCTGTTATGTTCCCTTCTTGGTTCACCCCACTGTGGGGGATTCAGGCCAGACACACTCCCCACTGTGCGTCCCCACTACTGTCCTCTGACGCGGTATGCTCCAGCGAGGGGACATCATGTCTCGAGCTGTTGTCATTCTTACAGTGCTCTCTGTGCCTTAGTGGTGTCTGTGCAGGGACGTTATCCTCCGGGCTTGGTGTGCCAGTATGGGGTCTAGTCCCTTGTTCTCTCTTTCCTTCTTGGTTTACTTCTTTCTATATAGGCGTGGCAGGTGGACCCCTCTCCCCAACCTGCAGGTTTAGTGTTGTCCTCTGCAGCACATTATTTCTAGTGGGGGAGGGGGTTGTCAATTTGGCTCTGATTGGGGCCAGCTCTGCCAACCTCTCTGAAGGGTTGTAAGAAGATTGCAAGGCCTATCTTCCAAGGTATCCTGGGGTGGACTTGAACCTTCGACCTTTGAGGTAGCAGCTTAGTGTGTTAACCACTTGCATAGCTCTGGTGGCATATTGGGCTACGTGTTGGGCTGCTATCCACAAGCTTAGCAGTTTGAAACCACCAGCTGCTCCATGGGAGAAAGATTAGGCTTTCTACGCTTGTCAAGATGTAGTCTCAGAAACCCACCGGGGCAGTTCCCCGCTGTCATGCAGCATCTCTGTGAGCCAGAATGGACCCATTAGCAGCGAGCTTGGCTTTTAGTTTGGATGGGCTCCTTACACCAACTGATTTTACTTGATCTTAAGTCATTCAAACCATTATTTAAGAACTTACATCTCAAAAAAAAAAAAAAGAACTTACATCTCCCTCAACCTCTGATCCCACACAGGAATGACACTTTACTAAAAACAACAGCAACAACAACAACAAAAGCCATATCACTGGCAGTGACACAGTGATACTGTCTCCTGTCCCAACAGTCCCCATCATCCATCTGATGGTGCATCTGTAGAGCATGGATCTTTTCCTGCTGAGTGAAAGACTGACCTTGCTGGAAGGGGTTGCTCCACTAGTGTGCATTCTGGAGGCTTGACTGCTCCCAAAACTTGATGCTTTTTTCTTGAAGAGAGAGGAAACGTTAGTTTTAATAAGAGGAAGCAGCTCAGCATTTCAGTCAAATGTAAATTTTCATACAAATCCAAACATCATCTCAAAACAGACTAATCTGTTGAACACACTCAATCTATCTTTTTAAAATAACTTGGCTTAAAGACAATATAAATACTGTAAATTATGAATACGCTGAATAAAGCCCAGATGATCAATATTTAGTGACCTGGAGAACTTAAAAAAAATCCTCAGATGAGCAATTGTCATTTTTTGCCAAAATGCCTTCCCAGAAACAACTTCACCCAGGGGGAGAAGCAGCTTTCCCTCCTGCAGGTCATGAAGAGGGGTGAACTGGTACAAGCTCGATGAGACATCTTAGCAGTATCTCACAAAGGCGCTGTCCTATCTCTAAAACTTTATCTAAGGGAAATACTAAGAAAGGTTCGAATATCCTCTCTCTCCCATGCCCACTTTTTCTTGTGCAAAGATGGTCATCACAGTGTGACGGCATCAAACGCTGAATCCTCACCATGAGCTGCACATGACTTCAAGCGCTCCAAGTGCTGTAT